ATCCTAAACCCCATGCAGAATTCAGGGCTCCAGCCCACAGAGAGCAGCTGGTCCTTCACCCTGAATAAGGGCTCTGGGAACAGCAATGCCACAGGCAGGAGCAGCTCAGGCAGCCACCCCAGGCCCCTGTCCCCAGACTCCATCACTACCATAGACCCAGACCCTTCTAATGACACAGGGACCATGCTGGCGGGCCCTCGATGTCTGCCCAGGGCCTGTCTTCAGAGGCTGCCACTGAGTGGTAGAGGCTGCTTGGGACCTGGGTGCAGACCACTGATACAAATTCCAGAACTTAATCAGCATGCCTGCCCTCAGAGCCCCACCCACCCTCACCTTCTGGGTTCTAGACTAGGCCGACTCCAGTGCAGCTATCCACCCAGCAGCTGAGCTGACTCCATGTCAGGGGAAGGGACCCTTGCTCCTCCAACTATCTTCAAGTCCCTGAGGGCTCCCTCACTCCCGAGTACATGGCCAGGAGTAGAAAAGCTGAGATGGACCTGCCCCAGACCATGCTCCCAGGTTGAGATTAGCGCACACCATGGACCTTCAGGGTCCTGCCTCTGGGAGCGCTTTTCTAGCCCACAGAGGCCAGAGGCTGGGGCAACAGCATTAGCCTGGCAGTCAGGAGATGTGGCTCTGCCATCCTTTGTCCAATGGCGCTGGCCAGCTGTATCCTCCCTGCAGCCCTTGATCCCCAAGCCTCTCCCCTGTCCCCGGCAACCCTTCCTGCCATGGCTGAGGTGGATTAGAACACCCAGGGTTTAGGCTCCAAGCAGCCCAAGGGTGGGGTTCCTCAGCAGTAAGGGGGCGGGGGAGCTCCTAGGGCCAAGTGTGGCTCAGCTATAGTAGAAGGAAAGTCACATGCCCTACACCACCACCCTCTTCCTTCTCTTTCCTCCTTTTCCTTTCCCCTCCGTCTAACCCTATATGATTCTCTTTCTTCAGAAGGTCATAAGCTTGCATGCAAATATAGTCAGTTTCGAGTACAAGCTCTACCCTTTGGTGGCTGCGTGCCCCTGGGTGAGTCCTTTAAACTCTCTGAGCCCCAGTTTCTTCATCCAGACACATGGAATGACAACATCTTACAGGGTTTCAAGGAAACAATGAGATGCCCTGAGAGGAGATCCTGATACAGTGCCTGGCAAATAGGAGGCTCTCTGTATATTGGGCCTTCTTTTCTTTCTCTTTGCCAGACAGTTTTCCAGTTCCTGGACTATTCTCTTTCTATGCAAAAAGGAAACTTCTGGGTACACTAGTTTCCAGTCAAGCATTAGGAGCTTAGGGCAGAAGTAGTCCTGCCAGAGAAGGCCATGCTTGGCCCACAGCAAGGCGGGGCCTTGTGGGACAGCAGGAGACATTTCTGGCTAGCTGGTAGCCTTTCTGGGCACCTCCCAAGTCACACCCTGTGCTTGACTGTCCCTACACACAGGGCTGATTCTAGAATCTGTGAAAAGATTTGCTGCTCCAGTTTGCAAAAATAGTGTCTGACTTGGGGAGTGGGGAGAGGGCAGCCAGATGTCTTCCTCAGAGAGACACGAGGCCCCCAATAACAGCCTCCTACTGACCAGCCTGCTTCTCCTGCTCCAACCTCCTCCCGGCCCCACAGCCTCCCCTCCCCCACCTCAGGAACATCTGGTTCCAATCTCCTCTAGATGCTGTGGCCAAGCTGTTTTATGGCCAATCACCTCAGCTCAGCTTCCTGAAGGCCTCCCTCCATTTGGGGGAATGGTCCCTCCTCATCCCTTTCCTTGGAAAGGGATGCCACCTTTTTTCCTAACATGGAAAAGAGACACATACCAAAACCACACAAAACCATGAGGGTCCTCAGAACTGGCACTTCCCCACCCACTACCTTGGGGATACTGTCATCCATCCAAGACAAAAAGAAAGATGCCAGCAGAGAGACAGAAACAGACAGCTGGGGGCATAAGGGCATGCAACCATGTGTCTCTGTTGGGTGTGTCTTTGTATTTGTGCCCCCACAGCAGAACACCCCACTTGTCACCTGAAGGCACCCCTTGGTGGCCACTGCCTCATTTTCCCTCTCTGCCTGCTAGCAGGGCTAAGTCGGGCGGCCCCTCGGCTGGACAGTGGCAGCTACAGTTCAGGGTCGTCCCTTACCTTGTAGCTCTCTGTGGCAGCCAAGTGTGTCTAGGGAGGTGGTGTGTGTGTGTGGCACGCACACACGTGCGCTCGCTTGCATGTAGACCGCTCTCCCTCCATCAGGTCAGATTAGAGGGACACGAGCCAGAAAGGACTTCCAGGCAGCCAGATTCCAGCCGGTGCCCTGACCCAGCTCTGACAAGCGCCTCCAGCAACCGGCGAGCGGAGCAGAGTGGCCATCTGGAGAGAGCAAGGAAAGTGACCCCACTCCCACCCCCACCTCAGTTGGCTGCCTTCATCCCCCACTAAGAGGACACTGGGAGCCAATCTTTCTGTTGGCTCCACAAAAGGAAGACTAATCCGGGAAGGATTCTGAAAACACTGCAACTCTGAAGGATTCTGGGGTGGGGTGGGGGTCTCCTGACCGGAGGAGGGAAGGATGGGCCCTGGAGGTCATTCCCAATCTGCGGAATTCTAGACACCCAGTGTTGCTCACCACTCCTTTAAAAGAAGGCACCTTGGCATTTGTGACTCCACAGCCCCCCCTGGTGTTATTCAAGATCAAGGTGCAGCCTTGATCAGCCAGAAGAGCTGTCCAGGGGAGACCCTTTCAAGGGCCATGTGTTGAGACCGGACTGCCAGTCAGTGTCACACTGTTCAGGTGGCTCCTGGCATACACTAGGCGAAGCAGGACAGTGGAATGGGAATATTCCAGCTCCTGAATAAAATCCAGGCATCATTGCCTACCAGCTGGAAGGCATGGGCAAGCCTTTTAACTTTTTGTGCCTCAGTTTCTTCATCTGTTAAATGGGACTACTATGGCACAGGGCCATTGTAAACACATGAACCGATGTGTGTGAAAGCACCTGGCCAAATGCCTGGCCCATAGCAGGCCCTCCGGAATTGGTCGTTTGCCCTTCAGCTTTCCCCTAGCCCAAGGAGGCTGTGCCCCAAGCTCTGAATGACACATGTTCATTTGGTCCTCAGCCAGGCAGTGTCAGCAAGGTGACTGTAATTTTTCTGGAGCTTTTCTACTCCAGCAGAGGATCATTTTAATAAGTCCATAATAATAGATGCAGAGGTGACTCAGATCTGCAAATGAGGAGCCCTGCTGGGGAGGGGAGAGTTGGGCTCTGGGGGAGGGAAATTCGCCAGCATCTGGGTCTGAGGCGGTGGCAGGCTGCTGCATGGGGAAGGGTTCCAAAGAGGGGACCTTGGTTGTGTCTCCAGACTGCCCCAGGTTCCCCTCTCAGAGACCTCAGTTTCCCCTTCTGCAAAGTGCAGGGGAATACCAAAAGACCTCCAAAATCCCTTCCAAGCTAGAGACAGGGCTCTGCTTTCTGAGCCCTGCCTCCTGCAGCAAGATTTGGAACACCCTCAGAGACGGTTCCAGATGTCTCGTCCTGGGGGATGTCCCTGGGTGAGTTCCTCTGTGACTGTACAACTCCCCACCCCTCCCAGAGCTCACAGAGAGTCAGGCTCTCAGGCCATGGCGCTTTATTGATGCACGGTCGCAAGCACAACACAGGCGGGTGTGCCCCCAGCTCAGGGCAGACACAGGGCCAGGAGAGAGCAGAGGGCCACCCCCCACAGCAACGCAGTCAGCAGAGGGGGAAAAGGCCTGGGGGCCCATGTCCTCTCCTCCATGCATCTCCCAGGGCCTCCAGACCTACTCCATGCCATGGAGACAGCTGACCACACCACTCCCTGTGGCTACACAAGAGGCGACCAGCTGTCCCACCTGCGCCCTTACTGAGATATGGCCTTGTTGGCCTTCTGGCCCCTTCTGTACTTCACTACAGAAATCTGGCTGTCACTGTGGGGGCTGCTGTCCTCTGCCTGACATCACCTCCACCATCCTCCCAAACAGCTAGCTGCCTCCATCCACACCTCCACCTGCCCCTCCACCCCCTTTGCTTATCCCAGGGGTCCACCCTCACCACCTTCATGACCGTACCAAAGTAGGAGATAGGCGAAAACGTTGGGAGGCCCAGGAAGACTTCTCGAAGAACTCCCCAGGGAAGGGGCTCTCCGCCAACAGGCTAGTGGTGGGGAGCAGACAGTGCCAGTGGGCGGGACGTGAGGTGCGGTGGCAGGGAAGCCACAGTCCAGATCACACGCAGGCACAGTGCAGTCACCGCACCGCGGCAGAGAGAGCGAGCAAAGCGCACAGTCAGGCAGGGTGCCAGGGCTCTTCGGAAACCCTACAACTATAGTTCCACACCGGGTCCCCTCAGGCGGCCCACTTCCGGCTGAGAAGGGGTACCTCTGGGTCTCAGGGGTCTCTGTCCCCCTCCTCGACCCCAGTGGCTGCTAGTGCAGACCTCAGTGCTCTGAGCAAAGGAGAAGATACGCTGGGGTATACATCATCTCCAGACGAGAAAGGAAAAGTCCCAACAGCCCGGAACCCCCAAAGCCAAGAGGAAAAAGAGGGCCCCTTTCTAGAGGGCAGGTGGAGAAGGGGGGGGTGAAGGACAGCTCTCCCCATGCAGGAAGAGGGTGCTGGGGGGTCAAGGAGCAGCTGGGGGTCAGAGCGGTGCAGGAGACTATGTATAGAGGGGAAAGGGCCAGGCCTGGTGTCTGCAGCCCCCGGGACCGCACAGAGGGGAGGGAATATTCTGTGGTTGGCCCTGAGTGCGGTGGGCGGGGCTAAAGACAAGCGCCCTGCAGCTCTCTGCAGCGCCTATGGGAGCGGGCAAGCAACACGCGGGCTCTGGCCCGGGGTGGCTGCTCAGCTACAGCCCCTAGGCTGTAAGTTTCCATGAGACGGAGGCTGGGAAGAAGCAAGAAACAGCAGGATTGAGGGAAACCAGGAATGGGGAAATCTACCCTCCTTCCACCAACCTACGGAGGCTAAGAAGCGTTACCAAGTCCACCGGGGCGGGGTGGGGGGGGGTGTGAATAGGCCACGCCTACCAAGGGGACACCCTCTGTTGCCTCTAACGCCAAGGGGTGGGAAAGGGGGAGGCCGTGGCGTGGAGGGAGCGGGGGGGGGGAAGGGGAGAGAAAGCCAGCTCCCTGAACCTATGCCACCCATCGCCACCCTGCTTGTCATCTCTCCCTAGCCCCCCAGCTCCCCAGGAGTCCCTAGCGGCCCACACTGATGTTGCAGGTCTTGCAGCTGGGGTCCTTCTTGGCGTCAGCAGTGGATAGGCTCATGAGCTGGTGCCCGCTGATCTCCCCTAGGGTGCCCAGGGACAGGTCAACGGGCTCCGTATAGATGATCTCCAGGATGAGGTCCTGGGCGTGGCGGAAGATCAGCTCCCCATCCTCCACGCTGCAGGTCAGGAACTTGTTGCAGGCAATGTCCAGGAGGGGCAGGCGGTCACGGCAGAAGCGGTCCCCCAGGGAGCCCTTGGGGGCCAGCACCAGGATGGCATAGTGGTAAGCTGTGTACATACAGTAGAAGTCCGCAAAGTAGAGGTTGGTGCTGGGGTTAAAGAGGCGCTGGGCGGGGATCTGGAAGCGCCAGCGGCCATAGGGGGAGTCCTGAGGAGGCTGGCCTGTGTTGAACTCTGTGTTGCAGCTGAAGAAAACGCCATGGAGCATGCCACTGGTTGGGGAGCCATGGCTGCCGCTGTTGTCCTTCAGGTAGGGCTGCAGCATGTTCCCGCAGTGGGTCCTACCCATCCCAGGGGAAAAATGCCAAGGGGAAGAGAAAATGCTGCTGGTTAGCTGGGTTGAGCCTTGGCTGCTATGTGTGGTTGAGAAAGGAGCCAGCACAGCTCCCAGCTTTCCCACCAGCTGCCGCCTCCATCCATCGCAAATAGAACATTCTAGAATGTGAGAGCGGGGAGAGCCCTGGAGATGGGCTGATGCAACCCACTCCTTCATAGAGGAGAGGTCTGAAACTACCACTCCCCAGCTTAAAACCATTTGATGGCGCTTTCATGAAAAGCAAGGGAATCAAGATCTGGTCTTTCTGACCCCACCTCCCACCATCCCCACACCCACAAGTAACATCCTCCAGCCACACACGAACCCCGACTTTCCTGCCTCTGTGCCTTTGCAGTGCTCTTCCCTCTGCCTGGACTGCCTTTCCCACCTGTCTTCACCTGGCCCGGTAAATTCCTAATCATCCTTCCAGGCCCCGCACAGGTGTCCCCTCCTCCCCAGAATCTTCCAGGAGCATCAGGCACTTCTATTCCACAAAATTTTGACTGCCTACTGTGTGCAGACACTGAATTTTACCCAACAATCACACATACTTCTTACATTCCGTCTGTCTGTACTGTCCCACTGATAGACTCTCAAATTTTCAAGAGGGGGACTCTATCCTTTATTCATCTTTACATCCTGGCACATATGGGTGCTTTCCCTCTCTTGCCTGCTTGCTGACAGAGGAGCTGGAACTAGGCCAGTGTGCTCACCATTCACCTTGCTGCCTCTCTTCTTTAGTATAAAAACCAAAGACCCCACCAGCTCCCTGCCACCCTGGGGTAAGGTGGGAGCACCCCAGCCCAGCTGAATGCAATGACAAAGACAGTAAGACTAGCAGGTTGCCCTAGCCCAGCCTTAGAAGGGCATAGACTTGGAGCAGTGTCAGCAGGCCTGGGGGGATGGGCAGCCCCAGACAGCTTCACCCTTGTTGTGTCCTGGATGTCCCAGGTGACTGGTGACTTACTGTCTCCCTGAGCCTCAGGCTCCCCATCTGTAGGCTGGGTGGGTTGGACCAGATCATCATCAATTGGATCAAATATTTTTGGACTACAGAGCCCCTCTCTTTCCCAAAGGGTATTATACATAGGCAGTCGATAGGCAATGAAATTGAAGCTACTTCAGTTGAACGACAGGTGTGGGGCCCACCAAGCCTCCCCCTGATTTTCCCCATGACCCCTCATTACCCCCCTAAAATGCCCTGCAACACCTCCCTGGAAACTCCAGGCTCCACAGTACACAGCTTGAAGACTAGGACCGTTCATGCACAGAATCCTCTCGCCCTGTGCTCCCCTCACCACCTTCCCCTAGGACCCAGGGCCTGAATTGGAAAGACAGCTGACTCTTGGCATCAGAACCCAGTGAAAGGAACTGTCCCAAAGAAAGAGCAAACCCCAGATCTTGTTCACCCAGGCCAGATACCATGGTTCCCCCATGCAGCCCCAACCCGAGAGCCCTTTCCTTCCCTGGAGCCCAGTCCTCAGCAGCCAGCCTGGGGTAAGAGATCATAGGGTCTCCTTAGGAGGGGCTGGCAGTGACAAGGTAGGCGTGACGTGAGACAGCCAGCACCCTCCAGGCAAAACAGAGGCAGGGTGGAAAGCAAGACCGGGGGCCTGCCGGGGGCCATGCTGTACCTGGCATGTTGGAAATACTCCTTGTGGTGGTTGCGGTAGAAGACAGAGAAGCGGAGCATGCGGCCTGCGATCTGCTCGGCCTTCTCCTGCAGCTGCGCCAGGTGCTCCTTGGCGTAATCTGCAAGAGTCCCAGCTGGTAAGCCCAGGGTCAGGCTGGGTATCACAGCCTCACCCCGCCCCCACACTCGCCCACTGCACACGGAGTATGTCAGCCCACCCCTGTCCTCAGAGTAACAGGGGACACCAAATAGTCACAGCACCTTGGACCACATAGGAGCAGGCCAGGGGGCCCAGCTGGGAACATGGACAGCTGGATGCTGTTTGTCCTCATCACCTCTGCCCTCCCATTGACAGAGACTCAGTGTCGCTGAGTCCAAAAGGGTCAGGGGCTGCCCAGTTACAAAGTCATACCAGGGGGCCCAGGAGCTGTGATCTCCGGCCATGCTCATGTGAAGAGGAGTCCTGGGGCCCAGGCAGAGCTGCTGCCAACCAAGACAGGTCCTTTGTACAGATTAGAAAAAGGTGCCCTTTCCTCCTTTGCAGATGCAGCCCTGGCCAGGGTGCTGGGTTTGGCAAGAAGAGTGGGGACTGGACCGCAGCCATCCCCAGCTCCCCAGTTTGAATTAAACTCCCACTGCAGGTGGGGCTCTGGGGTAAACCAAGAGGCTTTCCCCGCAGGGAGCAAGAGCACCCCAGAGTGGGGCTTTACAGCCAAGCTAAGGAAAAGCACTGCTTGAAAGAGAATGGCAAGTCAAGGAGACTTAGGGCACGGGCCCTGGCAGAGGATGGAGCCAGCCGCCTCAAAAGCCTGGGGCTAAGAATATTCCCTGCCCTCTCCTTGTGACAGAGAGAGATCTGGAGCAGTTCTCACTGTGGACACCAAAAGAGTGGACTATTTGTGGGACAGATCCCGGGTCATCCAAAACCAGGTGGGGACACATAAGACTGGTGCTTATTCGTGCTGGAATTTGCCAACGAAATTCTGCTAAGAGGGTTTGCAGGACCCCTGAATAGGGGTCATGTTCCCCAACTAAGTGGAGACTCGAGACGAGCAAATGGGATTATTATTATTATTCCTACTCACTGACTGTCCATCAGCGGATGATGGATAAACAAGGTGCGGTCTACGTATACAACGGGCTATTATTCTGTCTTAGAAAGGAAGGACGTTTGGACACTTGCTCAACACGGATGAACCAAACTTGAGGACAGGATGCTGAGTAAAATGACAGAGCCAACGCTCCAGTCCCAGAAGGACAAATGCTGCATGATTCCCCTCACAGGAGATACCAAGAATAGTCATAGCTACAGAAGACACTGAGTGAAATGGTGGTTGCCAGGGGCTGAAGTGAGGAGGGAAGGGGAGCTGTCATGTAGAGGGTATAGGGTTTCAATCTGGGAAGATGAAAATGTTCTGGAGATTGGTCGCACAACCACTGTGAACGGACTTAATGCCACCGACCCACACACTTAACTGGTTGAAATGGGAGACTCTGTGTCATGTATATTTTACTGCAATTCAAAACAGTATGTTTGCCCCGCGCCAGAGAAGGTCATCCCCGTATGGAAGTGGTTTTGCCAACATGACTAGGAGCCCTGACGTCTGCCTCCTGTGTCAGACCGCAGGATTGTCCGGGGCAGGCGTGGTGGGTCTCTTCCATGGGGGCCGCCCGGTGCCCTCAGGAGGTGTTCATAAGCGGCTGCAGGGCTAAGGCACAGCCCCCTCCTGACCCTAACTAAGCCTGATGTGTCAAAGCAGCGGGAGAGCAGGGCCTCACCCCCGGTGCAGAACTCGACCGTCTCGCTCCAGCCAGATACCAGGTACTCCCCGTCACTCTGCTTCACTGCCGTCTGCACAGCCACGCTGTACTCCGTGCGGGGGCTCAGGAACCAGTGGCCTCTCACGGTCATGGGCAGTGGCACGGCCTTGGCCACAAGCTTGGTGGGGACATCCTGAGAAATGGGATGCAGAGAGCCTAGAGTCAAAGAGGGGGTCACTCCCAACCTTGGCATTCCGCCAGGCCTCATGCTCCCCAGCCAGCCTCTAGGCTGCCTGAGGAGGGCCAAAATCTCCATGATTCAATGGCTCAGTGCCCTGGCCACCATTTTCCTGCGGAAGCAAGCAGTGGCCATTGGAAAGGCCATACAGATAACCCCCAGCCTCCACCCCTCGTTATGGCCCCCTGATGCCTGTTCTCTTGGGAGCTAAGGAGAAAGGCTACGGGGGTGGAGGCCGAAAAGTTGAGGACGTTGAGACCTCTGTTTTCGAGGGAGACTTCGAGAGCTCTGCACACTGCAGTGCCGTCTCCACGGCAACAGCAAATGCTGAGAGCCAGGGAGGAAGGGAAAATATGCCTTATTCTTTGTGGGGGGGGGAGGGTTAAGGGGGTGGTGTTGAACATTCACGTCACCGTGGCAACTGGCCTGCCAAAAGACACCCAGATCAGGAGAGCCAGTTCCAAAGAGAGAGAGGGTGAGTAACCCACATGATGCAGTCGTCGTGGGAACCAGCTCCTTCCCACCTCACTCTTCCCCTTCCCCTCTGCCAGCGTGAGAAGATGGGAGCCTTCCTCCCACCCACCCCCACACCGGCTTTAACCCAGGGAAAGGACACCCCAGTCAGCGGAGGACTCGGCCATGTTGCTCTCCTCAACCCAGCCACCAGTAGGCCAGAGGGCCGGGGGCCGAGAGGATCACAGCAGTCTAAGAGGGGTCAGTGAGGACCAAGCAAAGAGCCCCAGTCCTCCCATGGCCCGTGTCACCCACACAGTCAACAACAAAGCTGCTTCCTGAGTCAGCAGCTTTGTCATTCCCTGAGACACCAGCCCCAGGTGTGGTGTCTGTGGCCCCCCCTCAGGTTTTCCCACCCCGTCTGAAGGCCCAGTCGTGAGGCCGATCATGGTGTTCATGGTAGCTGGGCCCCTAAGCCAGACATCATGCGAACATTACCTCACGGAAGCCTCTCACAGGCCCGTGAGGGCTGGCATTATTATTCCCTTTTTACCAGTGAAGGGACTTGGGCTCAATGAGGCTAAATAACTTTCCTAAGTTTCCACACTGAGAAGAGCCTGGGTTTGAACCAGGCCTGTCTGACTCCCGACAATCACCACACAGCACTCCATTACCCTGCCTCCTTCAAGGAGGGGTATGAGCGAGAGGCCCTCTGGGCACCCTCTACTCACCCGGTGCTTGAACTTGTTGGAGTTCTTGTTCTCCTTCTTGTTAAGGTCAATGAAGTAATGGGTGACCCTCTCCAGGTCACTGTTCTCCATGGCCCAGGAGATGCGGAAGGAGTCACAGGTGATGTTGTTGACCTCGATGCTGTGGGGCGTGGACAGCAGCTCCATGCTCCCCTCTAGCTTGGCTCCTGTGGGGATTGAGGGGAGAGGAAGAATTAGCCCCTTCTTCCCCACCAGAGTTTTCTGGAATGTCTCGTTCCCAACATGCTTTGCAAACTGGAACCTTGGGAATCCATTGACTGCACCCGCCTCATTGCATCAGATGGGAAGAGTGCATGGGAAGATAGAGGGGTAGGACCAAGGGTGGGATGGGGTGTCCCCCCCTGGGGGGGCTCTTGGCTCTCCTCAGAGGGGTCTGCAGAGCAGACGGCACCTGCCAGGTGGCCGAGGCAGTGGGAATGCTGCAAACGCCGACAGGACAGATTCGCAGCAGATGGAACCGAGGGGGGGAGCCTCAGCCAGCAGGCGTGAAAAGAGAAGGGGGCGGGGGTGGAGAGAACTGTATGAGGCGGTATAGGAGAGACAGGAAGCACCCACTGAGGAGACCAGCGTGAGGGTTGAGGTGGGCAGAGGGCCCCAGTAGCCAAGAGGCCAAGGGTGCCAGGCCGCTCGGGCTCAGACCTCCCTCCTCCCTCAGCGTGACTCAGGGAGGGTTGCCAAGATGCAAGGCTGGGAGTCCAAGCGCCATGGAGATGCACATGGATATACCAGTGGCGGGAGGGGCCAGCACCAGCCATAGCTCTTCTTCCGCCCCCAACTTTTCAACTGTCACTCTTTCCTCTCAGCTGATCCTCTGTTGCTCGACTCGTTTGAATAATTCGTTTTACCTTTGCCATCCACGACAGGCCGATCTGTGGTGATAATTGCCCAAGCATCATCTCAAGCAAGCCTCACCATAGGTAAGTACTATTATTATCCCCATTTTACAGATGGGTTCACTGAGGTTGGGGGGATACTGAGATGCCAGAGGTCATGCAGCTAGGAAGTGATTTGAACTCACATCTGACTCCAGAGCCCAAACTCTTAGTCACTGAACAAAGGTTGTATCCCCGTGTGTGTGTGTGTGTGTGTGTGTGTGTGTGTGTGTGATGTGCATGGCATGTGTATATGCATCGGTGCACATGGTTTTACTGTTACCTTTCTTCTTCTGTCTTTCCCTTTTGAGTAACTACATTTTCTCTCATCTTCCTCTTCTCTCACCACTTCGCTTCCACCCGGGCTGCTGTTTCAGGGATCAGAGGACCACACCACTGGCACTCACCTGTGCTTTAGCTAGCAAGAGCTAACGCTGGCCTTGACTGTGGCCTGGCTCATGAGCTCTGGGGAACAGGGTGGAAAGGGAGAGGGGCAGGGAGAGGGGCGGGACTGTCTCTGGGACAAGAACATGAACGTGGGTTGGACTTGCCTCCGGCCATTTGCTTAGTGCCCAGTGGAGCTTGTGCCTTCCTGGTTCCTTCTAAAGCCCCATCCCAGCACACCTCAGGTTTCTGGAATGTTGTTTCCTTTTCTCCCCCTTCTGCTTCTTCTCCTCTTTTTTCCCAGGTGCTAAGGGTGAGGGTACCTCGTGCCTTCAAAAGCAGGTACTTCTATTTATAGCTTCCAGAAGATCCAACCCACACTTGCCTGTCAGTTAAAGCCTGTTGTGGAGCCTGGTGGGCTAAATTCATCCGTGGGCGCCTGAGTGGCAGGCACAGAGGGAAGGATATGGGTGATGGCTTTTACCTGTTCCAGGATGCTCCCTGAGCCTGAGTTTCATCTTGGGTTCCTACTCTAAGCCTACCTGTCATGAAGTTCAGCCACACGTCAGTGGCTTGTGCACAGGGAGTCCTGTGATAAACAAGCATGGGGGTGTACCAGGTCCATCCCAAAATAAAGCAGGATAGGATTGTGAAACAACTGTGTAATAAACCAGTTTATAATTCATGGGGACAGATGTGGAGACTTGGGGATTTGGTATGCTCTGGGCTTCCAGTGAGGAGATTCCCAGGGAGACACACATATGCACACAGACACACACACAAATACACACACACACACACCCCAACACAGACACACTCCTACCCCACAGAGGGCCTGAGTGAACACCTCCCACCCACAGCAGATTCAGTCTCTGCCTACCTCACAGGTGGGCACCTATTCCTGCCTCAGTACTCCTCTCCTCAGACTCTCCCCCAGAGAGAGGGGCAGCCATTTTGGGGGGGTGCAGACTCCAGGAGCTGGCTCATCATTTCCTTTCTACAGTTCTAGCAGCGCTGAGATTACTCCCCCTGTGCTAGCCTGGGAGAGTGGTCGTGAGTGACACTTGGGAGAACAGCAAAGCCAGGGTGGACCGAGGGTGGGTGTGAGCCCCAGTTCTCCAAGTCCAGGTGCCTGGGGAACGTCAGGGTGTGAGGGACAGGTTGAGACAGCACCTGAGAAACACCCACACTGCCAAGACAAGCATTTACACACCCACACACAGGCAGGCCCATGAGTGCACACACATACACGCACGCACACACATGCGCCGAATGTGCCCACCCACACCTGCCACACAAGGGCTGCCCACACCTCCTCAGACAACCTCGCTCCCACGCACTCACCTATGCACTCAGGTGCCTCCGCCACCTTCCACAGTCTAAGAATGTCCCTCAGTTTTCCCTCTACGAGCTGTCACACCTCCACCCAGACCCACACATGTTGAAGTCCACAGGCTCACACACGCACATAGGCATGCACACCTAGTTGCAAGCCATATTTGGGAAAAAAAAGAAAGCCACAGACGCCAACAGGCACCTGTGCTTCCTCCACGCAAGGCACGCAACTCACACGCCAGCTTGCACACACACACGCACACTCACACACGTGTCCACCCCCGCCCAGATCCCGGTAGCCTCTCTCAAATCTTCTCCAGGCTCAGAGAGCCAGACTTTGAAAATCTGGTTTGTCCCTAGCCACACTCTGCCAGCCCCGATCCTCCACATGCCAACAGGTTTGCACAGCTACGTGGGTCTGCGCACAGACAGTGGCTTCTGCCCACACTCTCCACCTACCTACCCCTTTCTGCTCCGGAGTTGCCCCTCCCCACATAGAAACCCTTTAGTTACATGCAATCCCTTCCTCACCATGTCCTCCCACACACATGACAAGGATATGTCCACTCCATAAATACACCGCCTCACACTGCCCCCACCCCCGGAACCCAGAGGCTACTCAGAGAAGTGAGCCCCCACACACGTAGCTCACGTGTACAAGAAACATATGTCCCTAAACAGGCCCCCCAGCGGCGGAAGCCCACAGGAGAGCAGAAGTGCGTACATACAGAACTATCTACGCAAGCAAACCTCCAGTCTCCTCGCAAGCATGCCTACGTGCCATACACACCGACAGCCCTTGCCCAGGCCCTTCCAGAAAAGCCCCCCCCCGGCCAGGGGGGACATTGACCCCCACCCCCTGTCCCCGTTGGCATAGCTGACTGCAGCAGAATGGTCACGGGGTGACTGACTGTGGTGCCCCAGGGGACTGGATCCAGCTGTTAATCCCTTTGCCAAGGCCCTGGGGGTTGGGGGACGGGGGACAAGGTCGTTGGCCCTGGCGATCTAGGTGGGCATTGTGGACGGTGGCAGGCCCCTGGTGCCCCCAGCTCCTAGCCCCTTGCCACCTGAGTCGCTCTCAGAATTGACAGAGGGATGCTCTGGGGAGGACTCGCACTCACCTGGCTCCACCGGGCTCTGCGGAGGAAGACCTGGAAGGGAGGGAAGGGAGAGACCTCTGTGTGGACGTGCTCTCCCCAGGGAGAGGGGCAGCGGCGACGCCTGGGTCACAGGCAGTGGCGCTCGCTTGCTCCTCTCGCTCTTCTCGCTCCTCTCGCTCCTCTCGAGGCTGCCAAAGAGGCTTCTTCCATGCCCCGCAGGCAGCTCCCTCCTGGCTCTGCAGCGCACGCAGGCTGCTGCCCCCAGAGAGGCGATGTTCCCAGCCGAGTGCAAGGAGAGGCAAGAGCGAAATCAAAGCAGCGTGGAGGAGAGAGAGAGAGAGAGAGAGAGGCAGAGAAGGCGAGAAAGAACGAGAGAGCCAGACCGAATCTGGCTCCACCAATGGGATCAGTGGCTGCCCAGCGTCAGGTGACAATAAGCAAGCTTGGTCCCCGCTCCCTGGGCTGGTGGGAGGGGAAAGGGCAGAGGGTCTCCCAGGAAGTTCCGCTGATGTCCTCAGACACAGCAGCGGTGGCTGCCACTTTTCCCCTGTTCTTGCAGGACAAGCTGCCCTCAGAAGTCTCTCTAACACACCTCAACTTGGAAATCTCTCACTTAAATGCAGCCCCCAAACTTTAGGATGCTGGGAGAGGGGTGAGGCTGAGCCCAGAGGCTTTGGAGTCCCAGACAAGGATTCTGAGTCCGGGGAAGGGAAGGGGAGCTGTGATGGGAAAGGGTCCAGACGGGGTATGGGAGTTCGGTCTTCAGTCTGGATTCTCTCCTCGGGACTCTGGCTGACCCATGGCTCCATTTTCTTACCAAAGCTATCACAAGATGTTAGACCCGCTGACAATCCTCGATCATCTAGGGAGAGTCCTCTGGCTGCTCAGATGTCCCCAGGGAAAGGGATGAGAAAGAGAGAGAGAGAGAGAGGTTGTGGGGCAGAGAAGGGTGTGCAGAGGCAAGAAAGTGGGGGTGGGAAGAACACACAGAGAGCTTGGAGTGTTCTCATCCCAACCAACCATCTGGGCTTGGGAGAATACTATCAGCTTTCTTATTGACAGGAGGCTTTTCCACCACCACATGAAAACCCCAGGGACGCCGCTGTGAAGAGCACTCAAGGAAATTTGAATCAAACAACCAACAGTGACAAAGAGTATGCACGGTGTGGAAAAGCACGGACTTTACAGTCAGATATGGTTAAAATTCCTGTTCTATCATTTTCTAGCTGGGTGATCTTGGAAAAGTTCCTCAACCTCTCAGAGCTTCAATTTCTTCATCTGCTGAGTGAGATAATAAATACTAAATGAGAAATTGTGTAAATCACTCAGCTGTGGGGCTGGTACACAAGAAGGGCCCAGTGACCCATCAGAACTGTTGTCATTGCCATCATTAGTACTCGTGTCTGCCTGCAAGGAGCCCATGGTCTTTTGTTGAGGGCGGGGGGAGGTGGACATAGAGAATAAGAAATACACAACTAAATTGCAGGGTACAGATAGGGATTCAGAGAAGGAGTCAAAACTAGCTTGAGTCCAGGCAGAGCACAGCCAAGAAGGGACCGTGGAAACAGGAGTGTGGTGGGGGGTGGGGAGGGCTTGGGGCAGGAGCCAGGGACAGACCTCTCAGCTCCTGCCTGAGGGCTCAGTGTGCCATAGAAGGCATGAACTGAATGCAAGGGACACTCACCGAGAGGGACTTGGGGACTGCGGACATCAGCAGGCAGCAAAGTTTAGAGGAGGTGACAGTGGACAGAATGTGAAAATTTTACAGAGAGCAAGGACAAGCAGACGCCAATCCTTCCCTGGGTGGGTGTGGAGAACCCCAGCAAGTCTGGTCAGATCCTGAACCACAGAATGCAGTGTGGTGCAGTACACTGAGACAGGATTAAGCACTGCCTCAGCCAAACATACCTAGGTCCCGCCCCTCGCACACCTACATTGAAATGTCGCAATTCTGAAGGGGTGCAAAACGTAATCTCCTGGTTATGGCCAGTGCCAGACATCTGGACCCAAACCTGGCCCCACAACTACCTTGAGGGGTGGTGTGAGGAAAAGTCAGGTTCTCTGTGACTCGGTTTCCCTGCTTAAGAGGAAGACGTGTCCTAGCACACCTCTGCCTCCCACCTTCCCGGGATGGCACTCGGAGGGTGCATGAGATCATGTGTCCCAAGGGTGAACAGTAGCCATCTGTATGCGCTTCTGTGGAGCTGTGTGATAGCCTCCGGGGAAGCAACAGACCCCTTCAGGGCTTTTGCTGCTTCCTGTCTCTGAGGACTACTCCTCAGATCACATGAGAGAACACATGGTAAGGAGAAAGCTTCACAACCCAAATAGAACTAACTCTGTATGAAACCAGACAACCGCCAAGATGCCCTTCTGCTGCATTTTTATTTTTAATAGCTTTTTATTACACAAGGAATCCATGATCACTATAAAAAGATGAGAAATTTTGATTCTAAAATTGAAGGGAGAATTAAAATCATTCATTTCCCCCACCGTTCAGATACATATTTTAATAACAAAAATAGAAAGTGTAAATATTGTTTTGTAACCTGCCTTTTTCACTTACCGATACCTTTTCTGTTCATGACACAGTCTTTCTACAGTATTGTTTTAAATTGCTGAGTATGTTCTGTTGTCAGATCACACACCAATCCCCTACTCTACTATGATTATTTTACATTTTCTCCATTCTAAACAACACTGCAAGGAACATTTTTACAGCAAAAACTCTGCCACACCTTAATTATATCTCCAATAAAATATTCAAAGGTATAGACCTTATTTGGATACTTGAACCATTAAAAAAGAAAACCCTGGGTGCCTGGGTGGCTCAGTGGGTTAAGCCCCTGCCTTTGGCTCAGGTCGTGATCTCAGGGTCCTGAGATCAAGTCCCGTTTTGGGCTCCTGCTCAGCAGGGAGCCTGCTTCCCACCCCCCTTCTCTCTCTGCCTGGCTTTCTGCCTGCTTGTGATCTCTCTCTGTCAAATAAATAAATAAAATCTTAAAAAAAAAGAAAAGAAAGAACACCCTGTGTGACAATTGGGCAATTTGAATGCTAAGGGGGTATTTGATAGTATTTAAGAATGATACTCTGATAAAGATACTTTATGGTTATTTTTAAAAAGAATATCCTGGGGCACCTGGGTGGCTCAGTTGGTTGGGCGACTGCCTTTGGCTCTGGTCATGATCCTGGAGTCCCAGGATTAAGTCCCTCATCGGGGCTCCTTGCTCGGCAGGGAGTCTGGTCTCCTTCTGACCCTCCCTGCTCTCGTGCTTTCTCTCTCTCTCTCTCTCTCTCTCTCTCATTCTCTCTCTCTCTCTCAAATAAATAAATTAAAATAAAAAAATAAAATTAAAATAAAAAGAATATCCTTCAGCGATTCATACTATAATATTTATGAGTGAGTGACATGGTATCCGTGACTATTTAAAAATAATCTGGAAAAAATAAAAATAATCTGGAGGGGCATGAGATGGACAGATGAAACAAGATTGGCATGGGTAGATAATTCTTGAAGCTGGGTACTTGGAGATCCAATAAGCTATCCTCTGCACTTTTGTGCATGCTTGGAAGTCTCCATATTTAATATTATATCCAGGGTATGATTACAATAATAACAAAAACTATTTTATTATTATTGTTAATTTTATTATTTTATTCTTAAGCACCAAGACCCTAGGCATGGGATTCTCACCACAGCCCTGAGAGGTGGACCTTTCAACCTTATCTTAGTAGGGTTGGTGGTGGGAAATGAGACTCAGCCCATAAGATGTAAAATTTGATTCAAATTCAAGTCTGAGTACAAGGGCTGGATTCTTCATAATTGAAGGACATAGAGCAAATATAGAGTGTGAAGCAATAGAGAGAAGCTGTAAGCAAAAAAGACTTACAGTCTTAATATTGTTTGTAAATTTTATAGACTCAAGATGTTTACATGTATTTCCCCATGGTTGAGCTAAGTGTAAGGATCTCAAGAGCCCATGAATGCAGACACATCCAGACAGCTCATAAAAACCACTTTGTTCATTTACAATGTGTTGGCAGTGACAGGAAAGGGCAGTGACTGTGTGTAAGAACCGTATGGATTTCTCGGCGCTTATTTGCTTTATCATTTTGAAATTATATTAGACCTCTTACAACTCTCACTCCATTGAACTTTTAAAGTGTTTTTAGCTGTTTTTTACTTAAATATTTAACAATTTTAAAACGGGAAAAATGCTGAATTATATTTAAGCACCCTGAAAAGCTATAGAAGAGACACTAATGAAATACTGGAAGGGCAAAGAGAAACTTCAAGGGACAAAGCTCAAGAACAATGAAGAAAGAATCACAAGCTTTGTGAGAAGTGGAAGGACCGATAGGATGAATCCACAAGACTGGCATAGTCACTGAGCTGTACCCGAAGGGGAAGAGCACAACATAGAAGGTATGGAATACAACTGGGCACTTCGTAGCAAGATCTCAGGGACAAGACTTCGATGCTGCGGATCCAGAAACTGCCCTCATGCCTCAAAGCCTTCCCTCCACTCCCTCAGCATTTACTTTACTTGTGCACGTAAGCAACTGGCACACAGAGAACCTACAGAGAAGACATATGGACGTGCAATGCAAGGATGGCTTTTACCTCAGCCGTGCTAAACTTCAATCACTTGTATAATCCACCTGGAAACAATCCACCCTTTTTATTTCTCTAATACACATCCGGATTCGCTCCTTGGTCTCAACGCAGCCTGGAATTCATTTGTTCATTCAACAAAAATTTATTGGGTGCTGACTCTGTGTCAGATATTGTTTCAGGCAGTGAGGATACTGCAGGGGAGGAGGAAAAGAAGTCCCTACTCCTACGGGGCTTACTTTCTGGTGGGGAGAAGATGGAGAGGCAAATAAACTCTGGAGTCTACTAGGTCACGGCACTGTGGAGAAAAAAGTCAGTAAATAGGGATAGGGAATGTCATGGGGGAGGTTACAATTTTGAATACCATCAGAGAAGGCCTTCTTGAAAAACGTGACTTTGGGATAAAAAAAACAAAACAAAAAAAACCTGGTTGAGGACGGGAGGAGAGCCATGCAGAATTCCAGGGGCGGCAGGGCGCTCCTGGGTGGCTCAGCGGATTAAAACCTCTGCCTTTGGCTCAGGTCATGATCCCAGGGTCCTGGGATCTGGTGCATTGGGCTGTCTGCTCAGCGGGGAGTCTGCTTCCCCACCCCCCCGCCTCTGCCTGCCTCTCTGCCTACTTGTGATCTCTGTCTGTCAGATAAATAAATAAAATCTTAAAAAAAAAAAAAAAAGAATTCCATGGGGGAACGGCA